TCACATGTTTCCCTCACTCGCTGCTTCAGATTTTCCCCCTCTGCACTGGGAGAACGAACATAATTGTGGAGTCATCAGGTGGAATGTTTCCCCAGGGATGCTAGCGCTATTTCCTGCATCCAGAGAAAAGGAGTCTTTTCCAAGGAGCGGGAAGTTGGCGGGTCTCTTGGCAAAAGCCTAGAAAAAGATAGTTTACTCAGATGGCTAATCATTCTCCCAAGTCCAGGAAAGATCCACATGGAGTACGAGGAAGGTGAGAACACAGTTCTCTCCATGTTATTCCTCAGAGTAATGGCACCTTCTTAAAATGCTGGCGTCAGAGGATTAAAAGCCCCCTAAACAAGTAAACTCGAAACAGGGAGAAAGAGGCACTATACCATGTTAGACACTGTGGATGACTCCACGTAACACCGTCCCCACAAGTATCTCTTAAATACATCTCCTGTGATTGCCACTGGGTCCTCACCAAGTCTACCTGTAAAAATACAGTGTAGTGGAGCAAATATGATACAGGCAAAACTTGAGGACTGCTAGCTTTGTTGACCATTTTAATTTCAAGAGGAACATGAGTCCCTTGCATAGAAAAGTCATAAAAAAGGTAGAAATGAAGGTTACTGTCACTCAGAAGAAATACGAATAACAATATTCATTCTATATTAATAATAGTATATACGCTATTAAATGGAGCGCCAACCAATTCTGACCCCAGGATAATGGAAGTAAAGGGTGTTGGGACACACTGTTGAAGATTTCCATGGCATTCCACGCTTACTTGCTTTTTCACTTGACTAATAGGAAGTGAATTTATTCCCCCATTCACGTAGATGAATAGTTAGCGAGGGGAAACCAATTCGAAATGAAAACAAACGCAAATAAACAAAACACACTAAGACCCAAAGAGGAAAGCCTGTCACATTTGTTGGATGTGACATATTCAGGAAGCTGAGTCCCAGCCTCAGTTACTGGGAAAACAATGCTGAATCCAAGCTCCCCCAAAATGCAGGTGTATTAATTACAAATCACAAACAGAGAGATGTCCTGTTTTTCATCATTTATCAAACACGTTAAGGCCAACCAAAGAGAAAAATGGAACATTAGCAGTGAGCTTCTCAAAGTGTAATTTCCTATGAGAGAAATTTATGACCTGTACTTATTCTCTATTAAAGGGCATCCAACCTCTTTTATTAGTTTATTCATCAAGGCAGCCCTGGTTTCCGGCCAGCTCTGAGAACCTGCAGGTCCTCAGGAAAGGGGTCTCTGGGTTTTTTTTTTCTCCTGGTCCAGTAGTGTTTTCCAGATCATGATACAGTTAACAGAAGTAGTCATGGTGCATTCGGCGGGCGGTTTTTAGATAGTCCCCAGAAGGCAATTCACAGAGCAAGCCCCAGGGGCTACACGGGCTATAAAGCGAACATCTAGAATGTACTTTGAAATGAAATGATTTTCTGTTTGCCGTATGAGGTTTGTGACTGCCTCTCAAAGGGCATTGCTTCCATTGCTTTTATGGCCAGGTTCAATTTCCTAGTTAGTGATGTAATAAAGGGGTGATTTAAAACCTGGGAGCAAGGACTTCCCAATCAATGAGCAGACCTATCCCTCACCCACTGTGCACCTCTCTCCATGGTGCTGCGGCCGGTGTCCACGCAGCCCCACAAGGTCCCCCAAAACTGTCTCCACTTCCCCCCATACACAGCTGTTTCTCTCTCTCTACCATAGAGAGTCCCCGCCCTGCAGAAGACCCTACCTCTAGGCCTTCCCTGGGTTTCTGTGTTAGATCACTCTCTCTGTGCGTAAGAGAACTCTAACTTTATCGTGATGAAAGTACACAACACCTGATACTTACAACGTGGCACTGGGGACCAGAACGACAAAAAAAATATGAAAGAGAACATCTTACCTTGTTTTCAGGATATTCAGAAACTGCAAAATTTCTGAAAACTGGATCAGCCTGAGAGCTCTTAAAAATCTCAAACCTGGAAAGAGAAATGAAATAGAGATGCATTATTTTCAATGTGTGGTTTTAATGTCCACACACTGCCGTCGGATTTACAGCTGCCAAGGTTAATGGGATATGAAATCCCTGCAGAAGAATGAAGCATCCCGTACTGTGGATGTAGCTCTTCCTCCTGGTCCTTGACTGGTTTAATCTCAGCTGGTAACCTGACTGTTTCATTAAAGGGGCCCTGTATGGAGCCACTGCAGGCGATATTCTGCTGGGCAGAGCCCAGTTTACTGAGCTTTCTCATGCGTCCATCTCTGATATTTTGTGTGTGTGTGTGTGTGTGTGTGTGTGTGTGTGTGTGTGTGTGTGTGTGTGTGTGTGTGTGTGTGTGTGCGCGCGCG